CCCCCCCCCCCCCCCCCCCCCCGTTTTTGGACCGCCTTCGTGCTATTATTAAGTTTATGAGGAACAGAACAGGGAAGGAGGACGTGGACCTTATTCCCTAACCCCGACACTTGACCCAACCGCCCCGATCGAATGTTTTTATCCCTAACGCTAATCCAACCTCCCCAATTGTATGTTTTAACACAAAAAAACTGCGAAGGTTGCTGCCTTTTCTCCCTCGCCGCGAAAGAAACAATAGCCAGAGTCCGGTCTATAGTGCCCCCAGGGCTACTGTAGCGTGACGGCACCGGAGCGATCATCATGCCTGCCTGCAAAGAGACTATCTGGCATTGGGCTCTACCCCTACTCCACCAACACCCGCCCTTGTCTGGGCACGATGATCGATACCCGCTCATCACAACCGCTCCAAACGAAACCAAACGCCGACGTCAGCACACATTCCTCCATTCGAGGCGGTGACGAGATCGAAATTCATCATCTGGCGTAGGGAGAGAGGGTCGACCGTCAAGCACTACACGCTGCTACAAAGGAACAGAAAAGCACAACAAAAAAAGACACCCGACCCGCCGTGCGCCTCCCAAAAGCACCCCAACACAGCGCCAGCCGTAGTAAAGAAGCGGCACACGGGAAGCTGGATCATCACACACGGCCGCGGAACCGCCAGAAGTCGACAACACCTATCAATATAATAGTAATGAACGACGACGGCACACACGAAAGGAGGACCAAATCACGCGTGGTTTCGGCCTTCCCTGTGAAACGCGTCGTCGTTCGTTCGTCGCCTCGATTCCGGATCATTGCTGCGGATGCACCTCTCCGGCTCACTTTCAGTGACCTCCCGAGGGAAACGGCGCCACTACCAGAGACGACCGCACGCACCGAAGGAGGACCAATCACGTCACGTCATACGCGACCGCGGAAGCGTTCGAAGTCGATGTTGGCCTGGTGATCTCGATCCAGCTCGGGCCTCGCGAACGGCTCGGCCTTGAGGCTCGGCTGCAGGTAGGCCGTACGGGCGTCGCCATCGTCCCCATCCTCGTGGTCTCGCGCCGGCCGCCTGGCCGGCTCCACGTCGTCGAGCACCTACGGCACGAAAAAGAAATCGATCCCCCGCCATTACAAATCGACCCAGCCGTTTCGACATTGCGGAGGGACGGCAGGGGAACATGTGGGGAGGGGGGGTTAGCGATAATTTATCCGGATGGTCTCTGCAGCACGGGGGGCAGTAAGGAGGGGTCTGGTTCGGGGGGACGGGGGGGTAGTCGCTATTGCCGTGGGGTCAAGTGAAGGCTCTCATGTACAACACCGCTAGTGGAGGTTAATTTGGATGTACACACATCCCAGTTGTGCCACGCTACAGTATCGGCGACAAACACTTCTTGTCAACTACGATCGTTTGGAGCTCATGGGTCAACAAATATCTTTGAGCAACAGTTGAAGTCAGAGAGGCTTGTCTCTTCACCAAAGAGCCTTTCCGCCCATATCAAGCTTTTTGGTATCAACCTGTGGCAAAATTCGTCACTTTCGAAAAAAAATAACCCTGAAAGTAACGCCACACGAGTTGGCAATAGGTACAATAGTTCCTGTGATACGACGTATCCAACAGGCAGAGAACCAAGGCAAACAAACAGCAACATCGCCGCATACTAGACAACCACAAAATTAACGTAAAAAAAAAACTACCACAGATGAAATTGAAGAGAACACACGCAGCACATGTTTTTCGATATCCCATCTACTTGGTCGCGATGGCTCTTTTGTGTTGGTGATCGATCACCTTGGCGATCTCGAGGGGGAGCGACAAAGCCGCCGGCTCGTAGGACCCCCGAAGGGAAGACTTGGCAATATAGGTCAAGATCATCAGCACAAACACCAGCCCCGCCTGGTAGTAGGCCACCTTGAGGATGAGGATCCCCACCATCGTCGCCTTCGAAAAAAAAAAAAAGGCGGGGAGGAACGAATGCAGGGGGCCAAAGTTCGACGGGCGAAAAAAATGCGTGGATGGAGGTAAGCGGAACAGTAGCAGGTCGTACAGAGCGCAGCAGATACGACAACGCTCGCGTTCTTGGGAACCACCCCGCAAACGTACAGCAGGTAGCCCGCAAGAGTAAAGTAGCAGCCACAAAATGCAGTCACCAGGAAATAAAAAGTGCGCATCCCGAAAAAAAAAAAGTGGTCACTGACGAAGGGAAGGATATTGAGCACCTCCTTGCAAGCGCTTGCACACGTGAAAAGAAAAACCAGACAGAGCAGCCAAATGTCGATGGTGTGTGTCCCTTAACAGCAGTGCTTCGTCTCGGAAAAGGCTTGAGTCATCAAATTGTCGTCGACGTACGCTAGACGACAGTAACCCCCCCCCGTCCTGTGGGAACACTGTTCCGTCCTCTCGAGGACGCGTGGTCAATGGTCCAGCAGCTAAGGTATGCATAACATAGGAGCACGCCCCCACTCGCGCCGCAACAAACCTGCGCGATGATGAGAGCGAAAATGAACCGCCTGAAAATCTTGGGGAAGAACACTCCGCCCGTCTCGTACATGGGCTCGTACACGAAGAGCATCTGGTGCTTGTACACCAGGTGGCACGCGAAGAAGTACGGGATGCCCACCACCAGTATGAAGGGGTTCACGATAGAGTACGTCAAGCAGATCTGTTCCCGATTCCGTTTTCGTTGTTGCGAAGGTTTCCGTGTGGTGGAGGGGGCAGGCGGGGGGGGGCGCGCGGGGGGGGGG